TTTTTTTTTTTTTTTTTTTTTTTTTTTTCTCTGGATCATTTGCATTTCCATCAGAGTTGCGGGCCAGCGTTGAAGATCTGCTCGTCTATTCGTTGTTTCTTCCCGTCGACCTCGTACTCGATGAACTGCTTAAAGTTTTTGACGAACAGCTCGCCAAGCTTGCGGAGTTTTGTGAGGTACGCGTCCTTGTCCTTCCACTGCATGGGGAACAGCACACAGATGCAAAAACAACAACCAAAAAAAAAAAAAAAAAGTGACTGGAAATGAAAAGAACGTCGAAACTTGTGATTTCCACGGATTGTAAATCAGAAACCTTTTTTTCTTTGTGAGTTGCTGTGGTGTTTTTTTTTTTTTTTTTAATCACTAGTACCTTTGCCGGTTCGGAAAATAACGGGCCTCCGACCTTTCAGGAGGCCGAAACGAAATGACAGCCGCCGATTAGATTTATCATTTATCAATGGCAGCTGTCGCTGGGCCCGGCCTCCGAAATCTTCGGGGACTGGCGTTTGCCCCCCTCATTTCTGAAGCGGGAAAGGCACTAGTAGTTTAAACTTTAAAACCTTTAAAGGCTAACCCGTTAAACCACCAGTACCTCCACGTTTTTAGGCCGTATACGCGGTGGCTGAATCTGTGCGTCGCGCAGGGCCATATGCATTTGAGTCAGAGCCTCCCCAGAGGGGGCCTAAGACCGCCTGGGATACTGGTGGTTTAAGCCCAACCATTCAATGACCTGTTCAATCGGACGGGACACCCTTTCAGGCCTTTTTTTATTGTCAAATTTGTCATTAATAGTATTTAATACTCATTATGGTATAACGGAGAACCCCCGTAGCAGCCACATCCATCCTCAAGCCTCCAACGAGGGAACATGCGGGAGCTGCACCCACCAGCAGGTGGGCCATACCGGCTAGCGGGGGTCAGCCGGTAGCATCAGGACCGAGCTTCTTCGATGGGGCCGTCAGTGTGCCTCCCCTTCAGTCCCCTCCCCCTATGAACATCAGCAGCAGTCTCTGCTCAATGCCACTCTCCGGGGGGACCAACGCCTATCTCTAGGGTACGTGTCATAAATTGAGAAGCCGCTTGTTTCTTTCATTTCATGCGTTGACAACATCTGAAAAAAAACAACAAACAAAATGAAATTGACAAATGTATATGATTATATAATTGGAATTTTAGCCAAAATACTTGGAATAATAATACCACTTTTGCGGGCCCCAAGCTTCCCCAGTAAGGTACATACATGACGCCAAGGAGGATTGAACCCACGACCTCCTCCTCACTGTCACTTGCGTGCCTAACCAACTGAACTAGGCCCCTGGATCTGACATCAAAATTCAAACCCGGACTTCATTATATATAGCCGTATTTGGTGCGACTTTCAGTCTACATACAGCCATAATGACGGGGCGTTCTACTCGGGCCCAGGACATCAAAAAAGGGAAAAAGAAAAAAGAAAACAGGACTATAAACCTGCAGAAATCTGAGCAACCGTCCCGACAGTGTTGATGTGTGTGGTCTGGAGATGGAGACCCAGGAAGAATACATTTCGATAATTAAATTCAATTATTATAATATTATTACTAAACAAGTTATTCGGCACGTCGCAGCCAAATAGCTGTGGCCAAATAGCTGTGGCCAAAAAGGGTTTATAGGCCGAACACAGTTTGTTTGTTTGTTTGTTTGTTTGTTTGTTTGTTTGTTTGTTTGTTTGTTTGTTTTAGAGGCCTGAGCAGGTCTGCTAGGGGGGGTGCACACAGTTGCAGAACGAAAAGGGGAAAAAGAAAGAGGAGGGCTGTACTCTCCAAATGGGCAAAATGAGAATGAATCCTCCCCTAGTATACACCGCCATATTTTTTGCCTTTTGTGCATATGGAGAGTAGTGGAGCTGTCTCTTATACACATCTAGATGTGTATAAGAGACAGCTCCTGGACCAAGGGCGACGCCACGGACACAA